GGATGGGTGGTGGTCGCGGGTTGCTGAGGAGCTGGAGTCTGCCTCAGTGGCCCGCGATCACAAATTTCTATTTAACTCCATCAAAAAAAGTAACCTGCAGCGCCACACCTATTACCATCATTAGGGGAAAAAATGGTGATCCAATCTCCGACCCCCAGGAACAGGTTTGCAGATTTGCTGAGCATTTCTGTGAGGTCCTGGTGGAGGGGAAATCCCTCAGCCAGGAAAACATCGTGGCACAAAGTGGGGATGACCCTGCTGAGGCTGCAGTGCCTCAAATATTGGAAGAAGTCACCCCCTGTGAGTGGCTGGCTGAGGTACCATCTGTAGAGGAAGTACTGAAGGCGATCCGGAGTCTGAGACCAGGAAAGGCAGCGGGCAGAGATGATCTCCCAAGCGAAATGCTGAGGGAGGGTGGCGTTTGTGCACAGACTGCCCTATATGACATCATAACAACAGTCTGGACCAATGGACGGGTTCCGCAGGATTGGAAGGATGCCCTGGTGGTTCCCCTCTTTCTTAAGGGGGACCGCACAGACTGTAACAACTACAGGGGCATCTCACTCCTCAGTGTGCGGGGAAAGGTCCTGGCAAGGATTATTCAACATCGCCTTGCCAGGCACGCTGAGGAGAGGCTTGTGGAGCCCGAATGCGGTTTTAGGAAAGGGCGGTCCTGCACAGATGCCATATTTTCTGTCCGTCTGCTACAGCAGAGGTGTAGGGAATTCCAACAAGACCTACATCTCTGCTTTATTGACCTGGTCAAGGCCTATGATACCATCAGTAGGCCTGGGCTCTGGGTTGTGCTTCGTGCTTTTGGAGTCCCTGACCCTCTGCTTACGATCATTAAGGGCCTTCATGATGGTGAGCGGGCACGGGTAAAACTACGTGGCCGGGAGTCAGAGCCATTCCCTGTACATCTTGGGGTGCGACCGGGATGTCCTCTGGCTCCCACATTAACATCTATTTTGACCACGTAGTTCGTGAAGCCTTCCATAGCTGTACCGGGGGAATCTTCATTTGGTACAGATATAATGGGAGGCTGATCGATGCCCGGGTGTGGTCAAGGGATGGCTCCCTATTGCTCAACCACCTTATGTATGCCGATGATTTGGTAATAGCTGCTCATTCAGAGGAGGAGTTGGAGACGCTGCTGCTGAGACTGGAGCGTGCCACTAAGAGATGGGGCCTTACCATCAGCTCCACCAAAACTAAGCACCTGCCTGGGTATTTTGTACCATCGGACACTCCACCCCCACAACTCCCAATCGGTGATGGGGCAGTTGTGGAGAGAGTGGAGAGTTTCCCATACCTGGGCAGTGTGCTTATGACCGGCTCCAGTTTAACCGCAGAGGTCTCACTCCGAATCAGTCGAGCGGCAATATCTTTTCATCGGTTGCGTAACGCTGTGTGGAAGCTACTTGGTCTGTTGCTCCGCACTAAGCTTCAGGTCTTCTCGGCCACCGTCATTCCCTCCCTTCTCTACGCTTGCGAAACGTGGACCCCCCTAATGGGACATCTTCCCTGGTTAGAAACATTTAGGCTAGCCTGTCTACGATCCATCCTGGGTTTAACCAGGCTGGATTTGTTGAGAAGCTCACAAATCTTTGAAAGATCTGGGCAAGGTCCCATCGGTGAGCTCCTCCGGCAGGCAAGGCTGCGTTGGCTGGGTCATGTAGCCCGCATGCCCAGCCACCGCATGCCGAAACAGCTTTTGTTCGGCCGGATCGAGGGGGCTAGACGGGCGCGGCACGGGCTAGAAAAGAGATGGAGTGATGTGGTACAGGAGGACGTGGAGCTGAGTGGACTTGCCGATGACTGGTACCAGCGGTGTCAAGATCGGCCTCTGTGGAGGAGGCTCGTGAAGGATGCTACTGGGCAGTTGGAGGCAGTCGCCCTCCAACAACAACGGAGGGCGGAGGAGCGACGCTCACAACAACGAGCGGAGCGCCGGGTGGCTAATGCACAGCAGGTTGGCACAGTAGGGGGCACAGATGGTGCATCAGCCAGTCATCTCAGTCATCTTAGTCAGTCGACCCGTGGCACTTGGGTCTGCCCCGTGACCTCCTGCCAGCGGGCGTTCGACACTTCACGTGGCCTCAAGGTGCACATGGCCTGGCACAAGCGCCGTGGTGACGTCACCGCCACTTAGTGATGAATGTCGGTTGTTGTTGTGTGTGTGTGCATTCCACAGGCTGGCAGTGGCAGGCTGGCACGCTGGGCACAAGAGTTGACTCATCTCTTTTTATAGAACACTGCCCAGCAGCAAAACGTTGTTTGCAGTCAGGGGCTCCGCGTAGAGAGAGAGAGGGATCTTTCTGACACGCGTCTCAAGCGATCGCCGTTACCAAGTCGTAATTCTTCGAGACAAAACCGGAGCAAATAAATAAGTTACGGGCAGGAATAACCCGAGCAGCCGGTGGGCTGCGGATGAACTGAGAGGCACGGGAAGACATCGGATTGACGTGAGCGTGGCCTGGAGGCCTGAGGGAGGGAGGGAAGATGAAGCGGAGTAAGGAGGCGAGGGGAAGGACGTTCGTGGATGTTGTGATGGTGCCCGTGGTGTCTGTCAGATTGGGTCTATGCCACCGGTCGCCGTTAGGTGCGATGCGACTGTCGGGGGTGAAACGTTGAACGCGAAGTGAAAAGGCCAAATCGTTATGTATTGAGGGGAGGGGCGGGGGGTAACCGGAGGAGCTGCAGCGCACTGATCATTCTCATACTCAGCCTAACCACACTAACAAACCAGACCCCAGCATTGCCTCTACCAATAACCACACTAACAAACCAGACCCTACCATTGCCTCTACCAATAACCACACTAACACACCAGACCCTAGCATTGCCTCTACTAATAACCACACTAACAAACCGGACCCCAGCATTGCCTCTACCAATAACCACACTAACAAACCAGACCCCAGCATTGCCTCTACCAATAACCACACTAACAAACCAGACCCTATCATTGCCTCTACCCATAACCACACTAACAAACCAGACCCTATAATTGCCTCTACCCATAACCACAATAACAAACCAGACCCTAGCATTGCCTCCACCCATAACCACACTAACAAACCAGACCCTAGCATTGCCTCTACCAATAACCACACTAACAAACAAGACCCTAGCATTGCCTCCACCCATAACCACACTAACAAACCAGACCCTGGCATTGCCTCTACTAGTAACCACACTAACAAACCAGACCCCAGCATTGCCTCTACCCATAACCACACTAACAAACCAGACCCTAGCATTGCCTCTACCAATAACCACACTAACAAACCAGACCCCAGCATTGCCTCTACTAATAACCACACTAACACACCAGACCCCAGCATTGCCTCTACCAATAACCACACTAACAAACCAGACCCCAGAATTGCCTCTACCAATAACCACACTAACAAACCAGACCCCATCATTGCCTCTAGTAATAACCACACTAACAAACCAGACCCTAGCATTGCCTCTCCCCATAACCACACTAACAAACCAGACCCCAGCATTGCCTCTACCAATAACCACACTAACAAACCAGACCCCAGCATTGCCTCTACCAATAACCACACTAACAAACCAGACCCTAACATTGCCTCTCCCCATAACCACACTAACAAACCAGACCCCAGCATTGCCTCTACCAATAACCACACTAACAAACCAGACCCCAGCATTGCCTCTACCAATAACCACACTAACAAACCAGACCCTAGCATTGCCTCTACTAATAACCACACTAACAAACCAGACCCCAGCATTGCCACTACCCATAACCACACTAACAAACCAGACCCTAGCATTGCCTCTACCAATAACCACACTAACAAACCAGACCCCAGCATTGCCTCTACTAATAACCACACTAACACACCAGACCCTAGCATTGCCTCTCCCCATAACCACACTAACAAACCAGACCCCAGCATTGCCTCTACTAATAACCACACTAACAAACCAGACCCTAGCATTGCCTCTACTAATAACCACACTAACAAACCAGACCCCAGCATTGCCTCTACTAATAACCACACTAACAAACCAGACCCCAGCATTGCCTCTACCAATAACCACACTAACAAACCAGACCCCAGCATTGCCACTACCCATAACCACACTAACAAACCAGACCCTAGCATTGCCTCCACCCATAACCACACTAACAAACCAGATCCTAGCATTGCCTCTACTCATAACCACACTAACAAACCAGACCCTAGCATTGCCTCTACTAATAACCACACTAACAAACCAGACCCCAGCATTGCCTCTACCAATAACCACACTAACAAACCAGACCCCAGCATTGCCTCTACCAATAACCACACAAACAAACCAGACCCCAGCATTGTCACTACCCATAACCATACTAACAAACCAGACCCTAGCATTGCCTCCACCCATAACCACACTAACAAACCAGATCCTAGCATTGCCTCTACCCATAACCACACTAACAAACCAGACCCTAGCATTACCTCTACCGATAACCACACTAACAAACCAGACCCCAGGATTGCCTCTACCCATAACCACACTAACACACCAGACCCTAGCATGTCCTGTACTCTTAACCATGCTAACAATTACAGGTGTATCCTGTTAACAATTACAGGTGTAGAGGACCCTGTTGCGAATTGCATTATGGCCGTTATTGTAATGGTGATTACGATGATCATGACGACGTCATGGTGATAATGATGATGACAATCATGGTGTTGATGATGTTAACAATTGTGTTGATGATGATGGTGATGATTACGGTGGTCATTATGATGATTATTGTGATAATAACAATGGTGATAATGATGTCGATGACGATGATTATCATGATGAAAATGGTGATTATTATGACAACAATTATGATGATGAAAGGAATTGATGCTGATAATTACGTGTGTGGGCAATTGATGATAATAATCATCATAACACCCCATCACCGTCATCTCTTACACTGCCTGATACAAAGAAAAAAACACAGACGTACAGCAAACTAACGTTTCGGGCAATGATCCTTCATTAGAGAACACAAAACACGAATGACGATATAATTATTGTATTTGTTCGAGAACGTTTGCTACCTTTTACATTCCGAGTGCTCGTTTAAATATCTCAAAGTATTATAATCTCCAAATTCTAGAGCTGTTTACTCTTCCTGTATGTGCCCGGTTGATTATTTTTGCCTGGCCAATCTTACAGAGTTGTGGGGGGAGTGGGGGGGGGGAGTGGGGGGAGGCGGCTCTCATCCCACGTCCCAGACCCCGGATCCAGCACCGTTGAGAATCGAGGGTTTTCATTTCGGACCTCAGCCTCTGTGCTGCTCTCTCTCGAGTGCAGTGAGTTGCAGTGATGCCTCGTCCCGGTTGACAAATGACTGCAAAAAGACGAAGACAAAGATCCCTCGACTAGCCTGTTGGGGCCAGTGCTGTTAGCGAGTATTCTACCTATTACATTGCACGTACATACTACACTACATACGTACTACACTATACACTACAGAGTACACGACGTACGGCGTGAAAGAAGTTCCACATTGCACATACATACATACTACACTATCCACTGCATTATACACTACGTACAGTGTGAAAAGTTGCACATTTTACATATATACATACATACGACACTTTACACTACACCATACACTACATTGGCAGGGAGTTGTTTCACCGCTCGCTGTGAGCATTCTGCGTGGTGAATCTGTAATGTGCCCTGGCACGATGCGCAGTCCTAACACGACCGTGAGAAAAATGATCAAACACACATACATACCACGTGATCAAACACACATAAATACCACAACAACAACAACAACCCCCAGCTACGATCACAGATATAACCTGTAATTAAAAAGTTACTTTTTGCACAGCGAAAAAAGAATAACATAAAGTCATCAACACTGCTTCACTGTTAATTTACACGTGCAACACAACAACAAAAACAATAATCTTCTTCCCAATAACAAATATACTTCATTTATACAAAGTAGCCTAAAGGGCTTTAACATTTCTATAATGCAGTAGTGATACCCGCCGGGCGCTGAGATATAAAATCAAGGCATCAGCGGCGGCGACCCAACACGAACACGTAGCTCGCGACACGAACACAACACAGACACGATGCTTTGCGGGGGCCACACTGACCCGCTAACGACCTCCGCTCTTTAAAAATCCATGCTCAAAGCATCTGCCCCGGCGACGATTGATTACACGTGTTTACACAGCAGCCCTGGGTGACGAGGTGTCCGCCGCTCCCTCCTCCTCTCCCCTCCCCCGCCTGTTACCCCTCCTCCTCATCCCCCAACTCCTCCTCCTACCCCTCCCCCTCCTCTTACCCATCCTCCTCACACCCCCTCTTCCTCCCCCCTCCTCTACCTCCTCTTTATCCCCCCTCCTGCTCCACCCAACTCCTCGGCCTCCTCGTGCCATCCTCCTCCTCCCTCCGCGTCTCCCTCCTTCTATCCGTGTCTGGTGACTTTGTGTATTTCATATCGGAATTGCCTCAAGTGCCGTTGCTGCTGGCGGCAATAAAAGTTGTTTAAAAAGTCAAGTCTACCCTTGTCTCTCCTCTCCTCAACCTCCACCCTCCCACATCACCAAGCAGATTCTTCAAGAGTCGCATGCGGCTCTAAAGTCGCAGGTCGCCGATGTACCGAATGTACCCCCCCCCCCCATCTCAAGAGTAGAAACCTTTCCAATGTTCTGATATTCTTGACGTTCCGGTGATTTTTTTCAGCGTTTCGCCACTCCGCCGCGAGTCTCCAAGCCACCGCGACGCCTCCATCTGTCCCCTCTCTCCGCATCTCGGTGCAATTCCAGGCACGCGCGCCTCAGCCACCCTTCTTCTCCCCCCCCACACACACACACACACATTTTCAAATCTTGCCGCAATGTCCTCCTCCTCCGACGCCTGCCTGCGCCTTTGATCCGAACGTCGTCGCTGGTTCTAAGGCGACTAATTTTGTCAGCGTGAACCTCCCCGCCCACCCACCCACCGTGCTGAATTGATTGCGATGGAACGAGAGAGATAGAGAGGGACATAGAGAGAAAATACGTGGAGTGCATTCGTGTGGTGCGTTTAACGGGGACGTTGATTAATACTCCGCGGATTTTTCAAAGCGGTGCCTCGAGTTAAGGTCACAGCTCCGTAATGCGTCGGTGGCGCCACGTGGGTGCCTATTTAGAATGGTGGCTCTGGAATTGAGGCTATGTCAGGGATAGAGTTATGGCTATGGTTTAACCTCCGGAGAGCGAAGGGTTTGGCAAGCCTTAGGATTATGGATGAGGTTCGGACCAGGGTTAGGGATATGGATAGCGTTATAGACTAAGGCATATGGTTAAAGTAAGAACCGAGGGTTATAGCTACGGCTGTTACAAGCCTTCGAGGTGTCGTATAAAGTTAGCATTAAGATTAATGTTATAATTATGATGAGGACCATGTTTAGAGTTACGTCTAGGATTAGGGCCAGCTTTGGGTTTTGTGTAGAGTTAGAACTATCTTGGGAATGATACCGTAATTAAGGTTAGACCCCACAGGCTTAGAGGTGTTCCGAGCTGAGAATGATTGCGTTCATGACGATAGGTTTTAGCCAATACGCGAGTTGTTCTTTAAGATAGGAGCGAGCTTAGGGCTGTGGTGTGGGGTTATTAATAGGCGAGGGTTAGGACCATGGCTAGGGTTGGATCCATGGCTAGGGTTGGGTCCATGGCTAGGGTTGGGTCCATGGCTAGGGTTGGGACCATGGCTAGGGTTAGGACCATGGCTAGGGTTAGGTCCATGGCTAAGGTTGGGACCATGGCTAGGGTTAGGACCATGGCTAGGGTTGGGTCCATGGCTAGGTTTAGGACCATGGCTAGGGTTGGGTCCATGGCTAGGGTTGGGTCCATGGCTAGGGTTGGGACCATGGCTAGGGTTAGGACCATGGCTAGGGTTAGGACCATGGCTAGGTTTAGGACCATGGCTAGGGTTGGATCCATGGCTAGGGTTGGGACCATGGCTAGGGTTAGGACCATGGCTAGGGTTGGGTCCATGGCTAGGGTTAGGACCATGGCTAGGGTTAGGTCCATGGCTAGGGTTGGGACCATGGCTAGGGTTAGGTCCATGGCTAGGGTTGGGACCATGGCTAGGGTTAGGTCCATGGCTAGGGTTGGGTCCATGGCTAGGGTTAGGACCATGGCTAGGGTTGGGTCCATGGCTAGGGTTGGGACCATGGCTAGGGTTGGGACCATGACTAGGGTTAGGACCATGGCTAGGGTTAGAACCATGGCTAGGGTTGGGACCATGGCTAGGGTTGGGACCATGGCTAGGGTTAGGACCATGGCTAGGGTTGGGACCATGGCTAGGGTTGGGACCATGGCTAGGGTTGGGACCATGGCTAGGGTTGGGTCCATGGCTAGGGTTGGGTCCATGGCTAGGGTTAGGACCATGGCTAGGGTTGGGTCCATGGCTAGGGTTAGGTCCATGGCTAGGGTTGGGTCCATGGCTAGGGTTGGGACCATGGCTAGGGTTGGGACCATGGCTAGGGTTAGGACCATGGCTAGGGTTGGGACCATGGCTAGGGTTAGGACCATGGCTAGGGTTGGGACCATGGCTAGGGTTGGGTCCATGGCTAGGGTTGGGTCCATGGCTAGGGTTAGGACCATGGCTAGGGTTGGGTCCATGGCTAGGGTTGGGTCCATGGCTAGGGTTGGGACCATGGCTATGGTTAGGACCATGGCTAGGGTTAGGACCATGGCTAGGGTTGGGACCATGGCTAGGGTTAGGACCATGGCTAGGGTTGGGACCATGCTAGGGTTAGGACCATGGCTAGGGTTGGGTCCATGGCTAGGGTTGGGTCCATGGCTAGGTTTGGGACCATGGCTAGGGTTAGGACCATGGCTAGGGTTGGGACCATGGCTAGGTTTAGGACCATGGCTAGGTTTAGGACCATGGCTAGGGTTAGGACCATGGCTAGTGTTGGGACCATGGCTAGGGTTAGGTCCATGGCTAGGGTTAGGACCATGGCTAGGGTTGGGTCCATGGCTAGGTTAGGGTCCATGGCTAGGGTTAGGACCATGGCTAGTGTTAAGACAACCACCGTTGGAGGATGTACAACGTCAAAGGCTCGGCGCAGTGGTGACGATGGCTGCGTTCCGTAATAAACCACCAACTCATCCCCGCAAAAGATTCCACCCCCCCCAATCGCACCCCCCTCTCCGCTGCGCCATCTTTCACAGTCCTCCGGCGGCGGGGCCCGCAGGAGAAAGATGCTCGGGGCTCCGCGCCGTTCACGTTCTCGTTAACGACGAAGATGACGACGTCGTCGAGGTTGATCGTGAACAACACTGGGAGCCACCACCGATCTCTCCACCGTCTGTTCGTCTCGCCCGGCCTTCATAGGTGCTCGCTAACAGCACTTGCCCCTACAGTCTATTAAGGTTATACGGGGGTCTTTGTGTGTGTCTGTGTGTGTCTGCGTGTCTGTGTGTCTCTGTGTGTGCGTCTGTGTATCTGCGTGTCTGTGTGTTTCTGTGTGTGTGTCTGTGTGTGTCTGTGTGTCTGTGTGTGTGTCTGTGTGTATATGTGTGTGTATTTGTGTGTGTCTGTGTGTGTTTCTGTGTGTGTATGTGTGTGTGTCTGTGTGTGGGGAGCGGTAGTGTAGTGGTTACCGCGCTGCACTGCGAACCTGGCGACCCGGGTCAGGTTCCCGCTCAAGGCCAACACCGGTGACGAATATCTGAACCGGTTCTGGGCATCCCCTAGGTCGACTCAGCCTCAAATTAGTACCTGATGCGGTGTGTAAACATCGTCACTAGGGAGACAAAGGCGGCCGGGCGTGGCGTTGGCCAAACACCCCCTCGTGTGCCGTGCCGGCCTTCATAGGTGCTCGCTAACAGCACTTGCCCCAACAGTCTGCTAAGGCTATACGATGGTATTTGTCTTTGTGTAGCGTAGCTGTTAGCGCGCTGCTGAGACCCGACCAGTGACGATTATTTGAACCGGTCCTGGGTACCTCCCCTAGGTCAACTCGGCCTCAAATGCGTATTTTGCTGCGGTGTGTAAACATCGCCACTGGGGAGACAAAGGCGATCGGGCGTGGCACCCCCCGTCGTATGCCGTGCTGACCTTCACAGGTTCTCGCTGACAACACTTGCTCCCTACGATCTGTTTGGGCTATTCGGGGGACCTTTGTCTTTGTTATTTAGCCCCCCCCCCCCCCCCCCCCCCGTGTCCTCCGCCACCCACCTCACAGCACTAATGTTGCTGTTGTTGTTCCGCGCCAAAGCGAATGCCTCGGGAGAAAATTGACGACGTAATGACTTTGAAAAGGGTTCATCAATTCATTAAATAATTTGACCAGAGTCTCTCAGTTCCGAACCCGCGTAATTAATATTCCTCTTCGCGTGCGCGCTGGGTGTTTATTTTCTCTCCTCTCTCTCTCTGTTCCTTTCTTTTTTGTGTTGCTGCAAAGCAGCATTAAAAATGCAAAATTAATTACGGGACTCGCATTACGCGGAGAGAAATCGCCACCACGCGCGTTCGACACGGCGCTACATTTCAACTCTGGCGGCTGGCTGTTTGTTAACCCCTTCCCCTTTGACCAGATTCTACTCAATCTTGATTTGAAGCTTTCGTGACTGCAGCAATCCATACTCTTTAGTTATTTCGGTAAAGTCACGTAGGTAGAAAAATAAAACAAAAATTATCACGACTATGGGTCAGCAGTTCCCCTGCCGGATTATTTTTTTCCGCCTGAAGACGACCGCTTGTGTTGCGATCGAAACGTCGTGATATATTTTTATTTTTTGTTTTATTTTTCTACCCACGTGACTTTACCGAAAGAACCAAACAGTACGATTCCACTCATCGCCAGAGCCCACTCATTAACCCCCTTGCGTTTACCGGAGCCGAGCTGCTTACTCAGGTACCCATTTAAGTCCGAGTCGACCTAGGCGAGCCGGAGGAGCGCTTCAGGTATTCGGCACTGACCTGAGGCATGGGAATGAATCGAACTCGGGTGGCCGCAGTTTGCGGCACAGCGCGCTGACCGTTGCACCCACCGCTCCCCCCCCACTCGCGCACGAACGAAGCCAGTCGCTCCATCGGTGCGGAGTACGGGGGGGGGATTGGCGAGTGGGGGCGGCATTTACGATGTCTGTATGTCGAACGTATTTCGCACCGTACGTGACCAACCGCGCTAATCGGAGATGCGGGGGTGGGGCGAAGGACAATAAACTAAACACACTCACTCACACACACACAAAACTGTTCTAAAGAAATGA